GGCGGGAGCGCCGAGCCCCGGCTGCGCCGTCCGGCTGTCCTGGGGAGCTCTGTGGGTTGAGCTGCGCAGGGGAAGGCACTGCTGGACCCTGCTCTTTGCTCGTCTTCCTCGCTGAGAGGCGTCTGGCTGAACACCAGAATCCTCTCGCACTACCAGGCTGAAAAAGTTTACCGTCCTGATAGTTTCCTTGTTGTTTTGTTGGGTTTTTTTTAAACAAATGATCGCTTCTCTGCTGCAGCAGCACAAACTGATGGTGTTACCAGGGTGCAAAACCCACTGTGGGTTGTTCATACTCGGTGAGCGCGGTGGGTCTAGGAGTAAGGCTTCACCTAGGAGTGTAGTCTTCTTGAGGCTGCTCCCTTGGGTGAATTAACTTTGTTCCGCCAGTTTATACGGGCTGTACGCCGTGCTGGGGGAGCATAACTCGGGAATTTTATCTTGTTGGCTGTTGCAAGGAAAATCAGAGAAGCGGCGCCCGCGAGAGAAAAATTGTGATTAGCTGGAAGAGTCTGCCTGGTGGTAGAAGACCCGAAAGTGTAGGAAGACAAAACTTGTCTTCTGAAAAACTTCCTGATGCAATCAACGGCTGCGGTGGTGTCGGTGGCAGAGCTTGAGCACAGAGGAGAAAATCTTCTCTCAGAGATCGTGGGAAGGAAAAGTAGTTAGGCAAGCTGTCTGAGGAGTGAACAATTACCCTGAAGTTAGTTCCTGCTGGATTATTTAAACTAAATGCGAACAGTCGTTGCATTTCTGTGACTCTACATGGGGCAGAACAGGCGTGGCTGCATTAGCACAGAGTAACTGTGTAATTGTCAGGCATTTGGAAACGGAAATAGAATTAATTAACTTTCTAGGCATGAAAAACCTAGGCTTTTCCGAGAGTTTGCAAATAGCTTTGTGTAAAGGGTCAGTTCAAAATTTGGCTAATGTTTTGCAGAGGGAGACTGAATGCAGCAAGAAGTGCGAAGGACTAAAATCTGTGTCTTGCATAGCTGTTAAGCGTTGTGCTCACTCCACATCCACGACGAGCGTGGTGGATGGGACAGTTAAGCATGCCCTTGCTGCATGTTGAAGACCTGCTCCCTGCAGTGGGGCTTCGCAGCTCCGGGTGTTTCCTGGGTACGAAGCCTTTCTTTGGCTTGGGAAAATGCTTCTACCGGAGATGAGCAATGCTATTTCCTATCCCAAGGAGTCATTTGAAAAGGAGCCAGAGGGTCTGAGAAGCAGATGTAGCTGAACTAGAAAGATGGAGGTGAAACAATGGCAAATGATGATGTGTCACATTTTAAAGGGATTTTGTCAAGAAAACATGTTATCTGTCTAAAAGAAATTGTGCATTTCCTGTCATGTGTGACAGACCATGTGTCTTTTTCTCTTTATCCTAGTTTATTTACTTTGTGTACAGCTGTTTTAGTGTAGGCAGTTCTCCGCCATGTGTGGTGGATTTGAATCCACAGAGGAGCAGAGCAGACAGCAGTGGTTTTGAATATTATCAGATGTTTCCAGTGATGCAGAATAAGGAGAATAAGGTCTGCAGGGTAGGTTTCTCCAACAACTTAAACAATTCTTAGACTTGTCAAACAAGCGTGAAGGGCCTGAATCTTGCTTGTCCAGTGTGCCCATAAGGGCCTGTCCAAACACAGTGATTACAAGGCAGAGTCCTGACTGGAGCATGTCCTGCTCATCGGGATGTTTTGGTCTTGCTCATGGCACTGATGCAAGCCGGCAAGCTCAGGCAGTGGTTGTGGAGCATTCTGTGGAGCTACACAAGCTGACCAGGGAAGTCTTTCCTTTCCTGGCCTATAAATCCTGAGCAGTCCCACTCAACAGGCAGAGCTTCCCTGAAGCGGAGGGAATTCTAGGTGGCCAAGTGGGATGCCATGGCATGCCAGCCCCAAGGCTTGTCAGTGGCACTGGGATAGATTCCGTCCATTAAATGCTTGCTGGCACAAAGTTTTATGGGAACCTGTGGTGTTTTAATATGAATGAAGTATTACTTTAGGAAAATTGAGGCAGTCAGTGTTGAAGAATACAACCCTTATTCTTGTGAAGTGTGGGCTACATGCATTAAGTTATTCTGTTTGTTCCCCCTCCCTTCTAGATGAGTGTTATTTTTTCCTAGAAGGGCAGAAAGGTGTCACCAAAATCGTACCTCCTGTCTAGGTTTTGGACTCTTGTCCAGCTAGAAGGGTCAAGCAGTATGTCAGGCTTAATGTGGAGCTCAGTAAATTGTTATTGGTAGGATGGCCTTAGCTAATATCTACCCAGCAGTCTAGACAAAACTGATAATGATTACTTGCAGAAATGTCTTTAGCCTCATCATCTTGTTAAACTTTGTTGTGTTGTCATCTTATTCCTTCTGGTCTTTTGAAAACTTCTTAATAATTCATTTCTGCAGTTATAGTACAGTATGTTATTATTGCAGCATAATTCCCCTCACCAGTGACTACCTTTCAGAAATGAGTATTGAAAGAGTGGGTGGAAGAAGTCAGAGTGCTCTGCTTTGATAATCCCGTTGCCACCAGATGCTTTGACATTATTTTCGCTTTTAGTGATGATGATGTGTAATTTGCCTTAACCTCCACGCACCGATTACTGTAGTGATGAAATAAAAAAACTTTCTTGAATAGTTTGAAGTGCAACACTGCAAGTCTTTGGTCTTGCACGGATCTTAGCAGTTAAGCCACAGCAAATTAAGCTCAAGACATCAAGCAGAGGCAAATGTCACAGTGACAGCAAATGAGTAAGTTTTGCTTCAGACATTTAATTTGATTATTTCATGAGTTGTGGTGAAAACTGTAGAAATGGGGGCCTGGTCTTGCAGCCTTCTCTGTTAGCCTGTCTTTGCTAGCACAGTACGGGATGTGGGACTTCCTAGAAGTCTTATAATTCATAAGGTAAGCCATATTTCTGGGTGTTTCCCCTGTCTTCTCCCCACCCATTTTTTGCTTCACTCTGGAGTGTGAGGAAGGGGGACCTTGGTTTATCTTCAGATGCTGAATTGTTAGGCAGCTGTCACCTTTTGTACAATCTGTAGGCTGTGCGAACCGCAGGCGCAAAGGTGTAGACTGAGTTTTCAGTGTCTCAGTCCCCACCATGCTTACATGGACAAGGGCAGGAGATGCATCTGAGAACTCATGGTACTTGTTAGTCTCCATGTCGTCAAGACCTGCCACTGTGGAGATCTAAAAGCTTACTGCTGTGTCTTGTCCTGCAAAGGCACGAAGTCATTGTAGGCTGGTGGGAAGGCTTGTGTACAAAGAAATCTGTTGTGTATGAGAAGAAGTTTGCTTCCGAAATAAAGATGCTACTGAGACAAGGCCAGATTTCTCATGTAGTTTTGTATATGTGCTGGGAAGTGGTGTTTTTGGATGTTTTGTTTGGGTGGTTTTTTTAATTGCAAGTGTTTCAGTGCACATGTCTGAGGGGTCCATGGCCTAAGGAAACACAAGCAGCCATGTCTCATAGAGCAGCTAATGAGGACGAAGAAGGTATGTTCCTTCCTGAAGGGGATGAATCCAGACAGCTATCTGTCTGGGCATGATTTATCCTCTGTGGCTTTGAAGGTGCAGGCAGTGGAGAGAGAATTATCTCTAGAAGGATTGCCTTACCAGTCCGAGGGAGGAGTAACTCCCTCTGGAAGTACCTGGAGCAGGCTAATTGCTTTTTTAACCAGCTTAATTAATACATGAAGTGTTTACACCTCATTCATAAGTGGCTGGGACTTTGGGAATGAAGGATAGCCCAGGGGAAAGAGGAACTGGAATGATCTGTATCCTAACAATTTCTTTTTGATGAAATATGTTCAGACTGTGACTTCTTGGGCTGAAGTCAAATATGCCAGCAGAAGATCTGGCCCTTAGGGGATGAGTTCTTAGGGACTGTGCTTGAAGTGGATTTATGTTATTTGCTTGGGGCTTTTTAGTTTTACACTAATTTATTTAAAAAAATGGAAACAGGTGTTGTTTATTCTGTATCACAGCAGGAGCCAAGAATGCCAGTAATACTTTCTTCCCCTGCTAGATCCTGGCAAGTGATAAGATGTCCAGTGTTATCCTTGTTGGAACCCCTTATGCAAAAGGCACGGTTAGTTCATTCACCTTCAAACCCTTCTTTAAGATTCCCTCCACTGCTGCAACATCTGCTAAAGCTGATGCTACTGAGGTGCTATTGCTACAGCAATCAAGCCAATTAGTAGGGTTCTCTTCACCCATGTGTATTCGTAAGGCTCTGTCTCCTGTTTCAGGTGGTCAGCTTTTTGGATGTATGAGGATGGTCTCCTCAGTCAGAGCATTGTCTGCTGGGGACCTAGGACAGAGCGGGTTCCCAGCTCTTGTGGGGTGGGGAGGGTTGTGTGTGTGTGACAGTCTTTTGTATGAATGGTGACAAAATATTTGAAAAGAAGAATGTTTAGCTGCTAAATTGAGTGTTATAGTGGGAGAGTAGAAAGCCCAAATGAGGATTGTAGTGCACTGCCTGCCTTTGTGCTGGTAGGATGGAGTGAATTGCAGTCACTTTTGCGTTTTCCTTTAGATCATCTGAGAGCTGAACAGGCTAGCACTCACCGTAGTTTTTCTTCTTTTTTTCTCCCTCTTCTGCTCAGACCAATTTGTCAAGACATTGCCAGAATACCACGTGGTTGATCCAGCAAGAGTAGATGCAAGTGGGCATTTTCTTTCATATAATTTACACCATCACATCTCGAACACGAGGAAGAAGAAAGATCTCAGCAAAAAGGAGAATGAGGTATATTACAAAATTAGCCATGAGGAGAAGGATCTGTTTTTTAACTTGACTGTCCATGTGGGGTTTCTTTCCCATAACTACGTAGTAGAAAGAAGACATGGCAACCACACCAGTGCGAAGATTGCAACTCGCTCAGGAGTTCCTTGTCACTTCATTGGCACAGTGTTGCAGCCAGGTTCTGGGAGTGGGACAGCAGCGATCAGCACTTGCAGTGGCCTGGTAAGTGATGTGACCTTTGCTGGGGTTCTAGACTAATTTTGGTGTTGTTAGAACTGAGCTAGAGCATTGGTTTATGAATGTGTCTGAAACTGGATGAGCCAGTCTGATACCTTACAAACATAATGCTCTGAAAGAATTGGTTTGACACTATGGATGTTATTTGCAGTTTTTGGAAGGGAGAATCAGAAGATCAAAAGTTGGTGCTGAGGTCCCTTGTGGTTTACTTTTCACGAGTGTTTTTTTTCTGGTGGTCTGGACTGCACATCTCTATCATTTGTAAGGCTTGAAGCCATCCAAATATCTAGTCATTGCTTTGATCGCTTTTGAGTAACAAGTGATAGGATGAGAGGAAATGGCCTCACGTTGTGCAGGGAGAGGTTTAAGTTTGGTATTAGAGAAAATTTCTTCACTGAAAGGGTTGTCAAGCACTGGAACAGGCTGCCTAGTGGTGCAGTCACCATTCCTGGAGGTACTTAAAAGACATGTAGATGTGGCACTTAGAGACACAGTTTAGTGGTGGACTTGGCAGTGCTAGGTTTACGGTTGGAGTCAATGATCTGAAACATGTTTTCCAACTTAAATGATTGTGTGATTCTATGATTCTATGATCCCATTAGTAGTTGGAGTGCCTTTGCTATGTATCTGGATGTGAGCTTCTGTTTTAGTTTCTTCTAAACAGAATGTAGCTCAGGTGCACTGAAACTGCTCTGCAAATCAAACCGGCTAATGGTAGGTTGGGAAAATTAGGACATTAGCTTGAGAATTGCACTACAATTCAGAAATAAATGTTAGGGTAGATGCAACTTTAGCCTGAGCTTAAAATTCAGACCAGAACCACCTCTAGACATCTGTCATTCCAAAGAGCACTTCTAAGGCTAGAGTTTGAAGTCTTACATTTCTTGATAGCCTGTGGTTGAGACTGAGACAAGGTGGTGAAAACCTTATTTTTGCTGTGCTGTTTTTTAGCGCTACCATAGCTTAGGTGTCTAGTTCTAGAAGATAAGGCTTAACGCTTCTTGTCAGGGAGTAGAAGAAGAGGCAAACTGTCTGAATGTGAAGGGAATACTCTAGGGAGCTGTGTCAAGTGGCACATGTAGTCTGTGAGAGGCAAAATACAGAGTGTTTGTGGAGTGTGCAGGCAGAGGTGATGAAGTGTGTGCCGCCTGCATGTGCTCTAGCACTTCCATCCTTGAGTGACAAATGATAGTATTTGAAAGTGCGTGGAGCACTGTACTGATGCCTTTTGGACAACACATCTCAGTCTGTAACAGGCCAGAGACTCATGTTTCCCTCTTGAGCCTGAACTCAACACCATGGTGAGTGTCTGTAAAGTATATCCTTTCGCTGCCAGCCTGCAGTATTGAGGTATGTTCCTTGCTATGGAGAAGTATGGAGATTTCAGAAGCTTTGGAAAACCAGTGGGTTACAGAAGTATCCTGGCAATGTATGAAAAGTAACTTGAAGACTGCTGTGATGTAGATGAAATTGGAAACTTTGTAATCTTACAGGAGTACTGATACCACTTTTGGCCTGTTGCCTGGAGAAACAGATTGTTTCTTGTGGTCACAAGCTTCAGTCCCACAGGGATTTTAAAAGTAATTCTTCCAGCAGGGACAAATTTATCAAAATGTGCCTGAAACACTTTATGGTCATACAGGGTCAGTGATCGAGATATGATGATAGAAGTAGTTCCTTTGATTTGTTTATCTTGTGCTTTATCAGAATGTTGGCTTTCATTAGGATGAGAACTTGAAAACGAGGTGCTATGTCTTCATTACGCCTTCTGAAGTATTTAGTCTGCCACAAGGATTGAAAATAATAACCAAATTACATTTTAAATTCAACTTAGTAATATGCTTCAAAGCAATCCTTTCATTTGGGTTACAAATTTTTTGAGGTTTACTTTGCTTTGGAAGTTTGTGAAACAATGCTAGAATACAGGTTTGGGAATTCTTTCTTTTTGACAAAACACTTGTGTCGGAAAATTGCTGTGGTTTGGTTTCCCCTCCTATCCCAAACCGAAACCTTGAAAATACAGAATCATAAATCAGTTCAGGTTGAAAGTGACCTCTGAGGAAAAACATGGTGATTTTGATGTGATGATTTTTGAAGTCCAGAAGTCACTGCTCTGAAGAAGTTGCAGTAAGAGTTGGGTCTTAATCTCTTAATTCCTCTGAGTGCCACAAACTGGGGAAAGCTGGTGTAGCCTGCCTTTCCCCTGAAGGTTTTCCAGAAGATCCAGTGTCATATGAAAACATTTATTAATTAATTGTTTTTCCAGCATTGAGAAAAGCAATCTGCTTTTCAGAATACAAACCTCTTGCTTCTGAAACTGTTTGTGGTGGTCTGCTGCTTCCTGAGCTAATGGTAAATTATTTCCGTCCTGGACATCCCCAGTTTTTACTCTTCAGCACCATGTTCATTTCTGCTTTTTTCTATTTTCCTTTTTTCCTTTTTTTTTTTTCTTCCGGAGGTATGTTGTGTTTCTCCATTGAAACAAATTTTTCTGTTTTTTCTTATGAGGGAGGGAAGGAGAGCTGAGAATACATAAACACCGTGGAAGTAGAGCAAATTACTTGAGGTACAAGAAACCTATCCCATGAGGAGAAGTTGTAAGTTTGTTTACTGTAGGAGATTAACTCTAAACTACTTCATAAAAAAGAGCTATATGAAGTAATGAATTCCACAGGGCGAGCTGGTAAGGATCCTTGGAGCTGAGGTGGGAAGAAAAGGAAGGTAACAAAACAGTGCGGTTGAAAGGTGCCAGCTTCCCAGAATATGCTTTGGCAGCAGTAACTGCTGCACAGGTCCCCTCCCGTGACAGCCTGGGTCAGGACCGCACTGACTGCATACATTGGCAAATGGGTCCAAATAAAACTGAGCTCCTCAGCCCACTGCTGTGAGCTGGCAGGGTGCTGATGTGCTCAAACCGCACAAACCAAGAGCCTCCCTGAAAATTTTGGCTTGAGGTTGGTCAAAAAAAGTGGCCTAAAGATACCTGTGGCAGGGGAATCTTCATTTTAGTCCTCTTTCCGGAAGGACTTCATCTCATGTGAAGTCTATTTGGTTCATATTTGAAAGTTCCTGAATTACCAGGGCAATAGCGGTGTATAAGAACAAAACAAAGATGTGTGTTGTAGATTTTGTTCTGTCATAAAGATCAATCACACACAGCACTGAAAGTGTAGAAAACCTAGAAGTGGATTTTCATCTCCCTTGTGTTTTTACTTTGAAATATGTTTCTGCTTCCATTGGCATTACACGGGCATCGCTTATGTGGCAGAAATAACTCTAACTGTTCTTTCTTATTTGTGACACTCTTCAGAATGAAATTTCTTGTATGAAAATCAAATGGATGGTGCTGAAAAGACGTGGTTTTCAGAGGGGCACCTGTTTGACTAAATCATATTGACACATGGCGGAAAAAGAAAAGTGACACTTTCAAAACATGGGAGACAGCTTTTTGCCATCAATTCTTCTCCAGATTGACAGTATGTTTGTTGCTTTTGCAACTAGAATGTCATCATACTTAGGAATTGCAGCATTTCCTTAGTTGTTTTGAAAATGAAAGTACGCCGATGTCTTACAAATTTCATTTTCATGTGTGTTTCTATGTTCCCAAAATGGAATGCAAGGGGGATAACAGTGACAGATTTGAGATATAAGAACGGGGGGGACAGTCATTGTATGACATTTTTCGTTTTTAAAAATACGTCTTTAGTTTTAGATATATATTTGGAAGCCAATGGCTGTGTTCATAAAGAGACCTGGGCAGAATCGGACAAGAGGATAGAGAGGACAAACTAGCAGAGATCTGGAGGAACTAAATTGTTTGGTTTTGTTTGTTTTTTTTTTTTAATAAATTTTTTTCTAACACCATGTGATAACCTTGTTTCCCTTTCATGCTATATAGGACATGACCTTCTTAACAGCTTGAAGAACATGATGCTGTAAGCTCTGTGTCTTCTTCTCTGAATCAGTTGTCGAGTTAAGTCTTTTGCACTTCTGGGTCTTGTAGAATAATGCGTGAGGCTTTGTTAACATGGGAAGAGTGGCGCAGACCTCGCTGTTTGTTTTGGGTCACAGTTGGAGGAGGGAATCCTGGAGAGGAAGTCGCTGCTGGAACACCAGGAACGGATCAAACTGTGGCATTTGGGAGGAGAGCAGACATGAAGTCTCTTAGATACAGGAAAATTTCAAAGAGGAAGTAAAGGGAGAAAATAGTTTTGTTTCTGTCTCAGTGGAAATAATATTTGGATTTGTCTTGGTAGGCTATTTGTGTCACACTTCTAATAATGCTTTATGTTTCCACAGCGCATTGTAATGAGCTTTTCCAAATACTAATGCCTTATTTCTCAGTTGCGTGTTAGTCCTGAGATCCTGTGTGTCGCAGCAGTAGTGTCAGCTTGTCACCTCAGTAGGGCTGGGAGGGAACAAAGCTCAGTGAAGTTGAATAAAAACTCTAGGTTTATGCACCAAGTCCTATAGAGCTGGGAAGTGAATTCTTCTCGGATAGTCTGTCCTCTTCATTAGGAACAAAGCCCTCTTTTATTCATCAGTAACACAGACATTGTTTATAGTATTTTTAGATGACATAGCATCATTAAGGCTTTGTTTCCTTGACACTTGTTTACAGTGTGGAGTTGTCAATTGACAGTTGCTTCTGGTAATACTTTTATCTTCAAAGGCTGTGCAAGCATTAGCATGGAAATGGCAAAAGAATGAAAGGACGTTAGTATGAAAATTGAGAATGATCTGTGTAGATGTACCTGGAAAGCTCCTGGCCATACTGGGCCTTGCGTAGTGCAATGGACAGGTCATGCTTTGGCTGTCTCCAGCTGGTCAAAGGGTTGTCTCTGTCCTGATGGGCATCAGCGTTTACAAGAAGTGCTGTTGTCGTCTGCTGCCCAGGCAACAGCAATGCAGTAGAAAGTCATGAAGCACAGTTTGTTTATATATTTCCCCTCCCAAATTCCAGGTACTGCAGAACACTGCAGTTT